TAGGTCGAATTTTCTACCCCTCTTCACTCTAGGGGCTGCACAGGCCGTATGGGGTGGCGCAAGAGATGCGCACTTCGTGGGGTCCAAGACGAACCAATGAGACGTCTGCAGGCCAAATCTCGTCATTCTAGCTCAAAACACTTAGAAAATACGCCGGCTCAAAAAAGTGCGCCGCTAATTTTGAGCAGCAGTGTATAATTTCATTACCGTTTCCATCCCTGGTGCACATGCTCCAACAAACGGGAATTTATACCCTATCCTAATCACACTGCCAAATTATGCCCTGTCAATGAAGTGGTTTACGGTAATTAGAATGACTTGAAAACCGAGGAAAATTTCTGGATTCCAAAGTCGGGTGGATAAATTCAAGACTGGTCCTTAAAATCCTAGACTCTGTCTTGAAACCCGCCGCTTCCAAGGGAAGGTCTTGACTACCATGGTACCCACCTGGGCGAAAATTCCAAGGCTTTTCCTTAGAATCGGCGGGTTTAAAGATTGAGTCTGGGATTTCAAGGACCAATCTTGAAATCATCCACCCGACTTTGAAATCGAAGAAATTTCCTCGGATTTCAAGGCATTCTATATTTACCGTGTGATTTTAGTTTGCCCACGAGTTTACTTTATTCAAATCAACACAGTATGCAATTAAAATCATATTGGACTATGCACAATACCTATTTATGTACCGGTTCGGGTCAAGCACATTTCGTTTAAACCGAAAACGGGCAACGGACTTTTCTGGGTGTAGGAAATCGAGTTCCCCTCGCGTCTTTCACTGACACTATGGATCGTAAAAAACGTAAAACCTCACCTGCACAACTGGCGGGCCGGCGGCTTCTGGAGAGTCGCACCGTCCGGCGGCCCGAGCTCGCTCCCGCTCGGCCTCACGTACGTTCCAGGCGCAGATCAGGTCGTGTTTCTCGGTTCGGTAGGGCTCCGTGATGTGGCGCTCCGAGCAGTAGAACTCGTCGTGGCAGGTGGGGCACGCCAACACTGCCGGCGCTCCACACGCCACGCACGTGTGCCCCTGTCGCACGTAACGGAGGGATTAGAACTACCAAATTACGGATGTTATACACTGTAAAAACAATTATCGTAATTTTACGAAATTTTCTCAGCTAATTTCTACTACGAAAACTTCACTTTTCACAAATTACGATACGTCGTTATTTTATAAATTGCTTTGTAAAATCCAAAGCTCCATCTAGGCGGTATGGAAATTGTTATAAGTTTCGTCTATTTTATTGACGTTTAACCCCTAAATTTGCATTCGTTACGAAATAAATTTGTAACTTTACGAAATGTCTCGTAAATTGACACTTACGAAATATTTTCGTAAATTATTTTTTTACGAAGCATTTCATAACATTTTTTTTTCGTAAAATCACGAAAACTCTTTACAGTGTAAATTAAAGTGATTCGTCGTTGTTTCTTTTCTAGCGCTGCACGCGCGCGTGCGCCGCCCCGGCGACGCGGCCTGGCCGTAAGGAGTTGCGACCGGCTGCTGGAGCACGGCGGTTTATCAGCGAAAGCTAAAGAACGAACAGATACGCCTTGGACCAAAGACGAGCCACAGACTGAGCTGGTCAATTCATTACACAAAAAAACCCTGTGGTGTTGCCTACACCCAGAGAAGCGAGTTCTTGATTCAATCCCAGTGCCGGGCTTGATCTCTTGTACTTGATTTGATCCCCGCTTGCGCTCGCTCGTTGGCTCTCCTCGGCGAGAACTTGTGTGTCGAATCAACCTCAGAATGTACTTGGCTCGCCTATCGCTCGTAAGTGAGAGAGAGAAACTTTACTAAAATTGGTTTCCTGCCGGGCGGACTCGAACCCGCACACGCCAGTGCGAGAAGCTGGAGCGCTATCCCCTGCGCT